AGAGACAGAAAGCTTGGAAATGAGACAGAAGCCTTCTGCAAGACTTCACAACTTTTCAGAGATAAGGGGCATCAGGGGCCATGTGCTGCCTGACCTCAGATCAGGGGTTGGTCATACATGGGTACCCAGGGACCATGGTAAGTTAGGCTGGGCAGGCCTGGGCCCAGGAGGCCACTGGACAAGTTCCCCATCTCCACATGTTCCCCTGGGGCTGGCAGCCCGCTAGGTGCTGGCTGCAGGCATCCTGTCTCCCCCCAGCCCAGCCCAGCCCAGCCCAGGGCAGGACAGGTCAGGCTCGTGGCAGCACCTGTTGCCACAGCTCCAGACCTCACTGTCCCAACTCTACCCCCACAGGCCAACCACTCTGCCGTGCTGCTGCCCAGCCCACAGCCCTTGAGTTGGGGAGAGGGAGGGGCGTGGGTCTTCCAGATTGTGATGCGGAGCTGGCCATGCCCCTGAACCCCATAGGGGTCCTATCTGGGGAGGTGCCTTGGGACCAGCCCTCTCACTGCGCTGCCACTGTGCTCCAAGCATGCCCCTGCTATGTGTGGCCCAGACTATATGACATGATCTGTTTGTGTTGGCCAAGGGGTGCCCAAGCCACTATGCCCTGCTGATGATGATCTTTATGGTTCCCTGGGTGCACCAGAGCTCCTGGTTTGGGACCTTGAGTTTTGATAGCACAGGAGGAAAGCCTGGGTTGCTGGGAGTGTGGCCTAGCCAGGCAGGGATGCAGGCAGGAGCAGGGGCCAGAGCAGGGGGCAAGGCGAGGGTGGGGAGGCTGATGGCACATCTGGGGCTGGCTTAGCTGGTGGCTCAGCACGGTCCTTCCAGCTGGTGATGGCATCCAGCTGTGCCTGGTGTCCTCGGCCTGTGGGGAGCAGCATGCAGGTGTCCAGCTAGGCACCTACCCTGGGAGGAGCTGGCACTGCTAACTGCTGGTGGTGTCATGGTTGGTCATGCCTTGTGTCTCGCCCTGGGGCTGTGCAGCTGGCGAGGCAGGCACTGGCCAGGGCTCCCTGAGCTGCTGGTGGAAACTGCAGCCAAGATGCTGGGCAGGACAGGGTGCTTCATACTCAAGGGGCACTCCTCTGATGATGTGTCACTGGAGGTGCCAAAGCAGGGCAGGGGCTCAGGCAGGCCACCCATACTCATGTAAACCACATGGCTATGTCCTGGATTCCAGGGTGCAAGAATATTTTTCAGCTGCCACATAAAGGACATGGTCTTGTGGGCAGGGCTGGACTGATGATTGTGATCATTCACGGTGACCCACTGTGTTCTCAAGACCTTGATCTTTAAGCAGCACTGCTGTTCCAATTGGTCATGCCCTCACTGCCTCAATTGATTCTAATGGGGCCTCATAAATGTGGGCATTAGAGCTCCAGCCCCACTCAAACTGGTGCAGCACTTCTGTCTCTCCCCACAGTGCCATGAGGTCACCAGTCTCCTCCTGGCTCCAGCTGGGGCTCCAAGTGGAGGGCATGGGCATGTAGATGCATACGGTCCTGGGTCTGGATGGGGAGGATGAGGCCATGCTGGGTTCAACACTGTCTCTCTGGGCCCCCAGGCAGCTGTCCCAATGTTGCTGGCCCTGGGCAGCTGCCAGCAGTGCTCAGCACAAGGGCACAGCATGGGACTGGCAGCCACGTGGCAGAGGCTATGCCCCACAGCAACTGTAGGTTCAGGACAGGCTGATGGAACATGCTGTCCAGAGGCTGCTTACAGGTGGCCTTGAGGGCTGGCAGGCCTGGCCAGGGGCTGCAGAAGCCCAAAGCACCCAGATGGCCCTGACAGCACTGCCTTGGCAGCCATGTGATTGCAATGGCAGGCAGCAGTGCTTGGGGGCTGGCAAGCAAACAGAGTGCTGATGTGGTCTGCTCAGGGGGACAGACAGGGCCTGCAGTGCCCTCAGGCTGCCTGTGTTGTGTGCCCCAGGGCACAAAATGTCCACAGGATTTTATAGCCTGCAGACAAGGGCTGCCATAAAGGCAGCCCAGCCATGTAGCAGGAGAGGCTTATAGCCTGCAACTTTGGGGCTGGCCTCAAGCTGGCCCCCTAGTGGCTAGGCAGACCCAGGAGCAAACTTGCTCCTGAGTCATGTTCATACATGGGTTACTGCACGTTAATCAATCCCAATTACATTTGCTACTTGCATTTGCAAGTAGCAAATTTAAGAGGGAGTAAGGGTTTTTACTGTGCAGTAATCGAACACACATGGAGACATGTATGCTTACTGTTCAGTAAACTATGTTAATGACAGTAATGTATCTCATGTAGATAAGCCCAGTGAGACTAATGATGATATACCTGCCCCAATAGCTACCATTCCAATATGATATACCTGCCCCAATAGCTACTATACAAATATACTTACCTTGAAGCTGTTGGATTACATTTTTGGCTCTAGTATGACACATGATCATTTCCAGCTACATTTTTGTTTTGCATTTCATGCTGAAGTTCTCCCCACTTGTGTATATCGAAGCATCAGTTGCTATTTTGTCTAAGTACACGAGTTATATGTGTTTGCTTGACCTCTGTAATCTCCTTATGGGAATCTCACATGCTTAGAAAGGTACCCTTTGCTACATGGTCTGGAGTCTTGCCTATGATGTGGAAGACTGTGGTTATTTCCCTGCTGCAGATCAGGCAGTGGTCTTTCCATTCAGCACAAAATATACAAGGTTCCAAACCTGGAACAGGAAAAATGGAAATCTAAAAAATGTTGTTGAACAGGAAAATGACTTCCTACCAATTTTCTTGGATGTTCTAGCACATGAAGTCATAGGCAACACGTTGGGGGGGCATGCCTCCCTAAGATTGGCCCTCACCGGCTGGGGAGTGGGGGTCAACGATCAGCTACTGGTGCCCCCCCCAGAGTCAGGAGGCACCAGTTGTCCATGCATAAAGTCAGTCTTTGTGGTCCCTAGATGACAGTTTTATACAGAGCCCGAATAATTAGTGGGCAATGAAGCCTAAAAAACAGTCCTGTCAACGGTTACTTTGTCTAGAAAGCAATTCAGTTTTGTCTGTCCTTTGCTTACAGCATGTATAGGCATGGAACAATTCTAGGGAGCTCCTTCCCTGCTTAGTTACAGTTGCCCTCTGCTCATTTAAATCATGTGCATAACCTTTTTCTAACTGGATTATGCTGCTGACTGTTCACATGCTTGATTTATCAGTGGAGACTGTTTCAGAAGGGATCTAATTGAATTCAATGTCCTTTTCTTGCTATTCTGTTGAGAAGACTTGCCATTTCTTGTGGGGTTTGCCTTTTGGTATTGTGTACTGAGATCCATGGTTGAAAGAATTATTTATTTCAAACACATTGATGCCTACTAATTTTATATTATTTTGCCAGTGACAAACCATGTAGTTAAAGTTTCTCTATGTCCTAGCAATCCCTGACTGCTGGGATAGCCCTTTAGGGATATGGGCATTTCATATAAATTAGAGCAGCTTCTATTAACAGTCCTACTGACTGGTTCAGTGTCTGGCTGGCACGAACTTTGTGGGCGGGGGGCGGGAGACGTAGAGGTAACTTTAAGCAGGATATTAAGATCTGTAAAAGGAGGATTATTTTTTTGACAATGTAAGCAAGACTTGTTTTATACTAGATTTCTTTGTAATGCTCTTTTTCTCAGGCCAGTTATGATCTTCATTCCTTTTACTATAACTGTATATTTATTGTGTTCTGTGTCTCTTTGTTTTGAGCCCCACAAAATCATGGTTGAGAATTCTCTGCAGGGCAAAATCAATGACTGCTCTTTATCTTCTCCAACTGTGTTAATGTTTTTCCATTGTAGAGCTTTGCATTTCAAAAATGTCCTTTTAGATATCCTTTGTCTCTCAAAATTTAGATCAGCACTGTGGCAGTACCTAAGTTTATGATAAAACCATTAGCTGATGGCTGTAATTTATACCAAATGCTTCTTCATATTTGATCAGATGAAGTCATATTTGATCTTTGGTATGTAATCTTCAGCTCTATAGCCACATTTTGAACTCTTACTGAAGAAGATTTAAAAACTTTATTTGAAGTGAGTGGTTTTATGCATGATTTTTGGTAGCCCCCCAGCTATCAGTATCTTCCATTATTCTGAGCACATCTCCTTCATCTCCTGGTGTACAATAATTGTACCCACATAGGAACCAAGAAAACCTTACGATGACTATGCTAAACTTTGATCAAAAATATATTTCACCTTCCTCAATTTCATAATAACTTTCTGTATATTAAATGTGCTAACTATAATGTCAACAACTCTTATGAAGATAATATTAGGTGAATGGTAGGGTACTGAGTTCAGAATAGAAGATGTGGTTTAATTTTATAGATAAACTGTTTTGAAAAATGTGTTTTCTTCTATTCTTATGTGAGTCTTTTTACTCATCTCTTTTTACTATTATTTCTTTTTACTCTTTTTATTATCTTAATTATCTATTTATTTCAATGATAGTGTAAAATAAATTATAAATTAGAATTATAATCATGTTAGAGAAAAAATAATTTTATAAGTTATGTAACCAACATATTAGGGCATTCAAGATACTCTGGGAGATTTCAAACTATTTCAGAATTATTTTATAGACAGTTTCAAGTCCAATTGGTTATATATAAAGAAATACAATGTATATTTTCAAATGATAGACTTCCTGAAAGATTTTTGTTTTAAATTTGAAGAGCCTATTCAAAGCCAATTTCATTTCTATATACGCTCTAAAATAGACATAATTTTCATCATTTCATTTTTAAAAGTGTGTATCTGTCATACTTTCAAGCAATTTAAGAAAGCAATTTTCTCAAGGAAAGAAAAGATATTTTTAACATTATAAATACTCTTTGTCAAGCAAGCCTACAGTCACAAGTGTTTATATGTTCTTGCTATTTTTCTTTTTAGAGTATTGCTTGCTTTTTATTTAAATTGACAATATCTTGATTTTGCTGTCTATTGTGCATGTCTGACAACTGTTCTTTTTTGTTTAAACATTTTTAGTGAGAAGCGTTCTACACAAGGAGAATGTTACAGGAGAATGCATTGCTATTGGACACCTTATAAATTCAAGGGTTTGGAACAAAGTTTCTTGGAAGTCAGCACTACACAATGACACTATTGTAGAAGGCAGGATAGATGTAGACCTTATAGACCAATGAAGTTAGAAGTGTATAGCATAAGATGTTATTAAAGAAGACATTCGGGGTAAAAATGGGCTTATACCTCTTCTAGTTTGTCTATATTGTATAACAGTGACTTGGAAGTCTGTCTTTATAAGCTTTCCTTCTTGTTAGTATTCTACTCACAGGAGCTGTGTTCCATGTGTCTGTGTGTCTGTGTGTGATATATGCTATGCTTGGCACCTTGTGATGGGACCTGAGGAAGCATGTCTTCCATTTAAAAGCTTGTCTAACTTTATCCTAACTATATAGTTGGTCCAATAAAATATATCATCCTAGCAATCCATATATATATATCACATATACATAATGTGAACGTTCTATTACAATCTTACAACATGAGAATAATATGTGAATATAAAAGGCACAGATTTTCAACTCTAGTGATCATTTTGATTTAGTTTGTGTCAAATTACATTTTAAGGTTATTCTTATAAGAAAAGGCTACTTTAAAAAAGAAGAACCATAAACCTCTGCTTTATAGTATTAGCTTATTCAAACTAATGGGACTCAGAGCTGCACCAACTTACAAAATTCAGACCTAGCTTTTTTGTTGTTTCTTTTTTATATTAAAAAGTAGCTAGAGATCAGAATGAGATAAGTAACTGTCAGGCAAAATGCAAAAAGAATGCAAAAACAGATGTTATATAACTGGTGTTGTACTGTAGTTGGGGAACAAACAGAAGGAAAAAAATTGGGTCTGTTTTTGAATTACACACACACGGCATTGCAGTATAAAAGAAGTTCCAGGACTGCAGTACTATGGATATAATACTACAAGACTATCTAAGTGATTCAAAAAACGTGATTAGTCGCCTTGGAACTGATACAGTGCTATGGGATATTAATTCAAATCAACCCTGAAAAATAAAGTCTGTTCTAATGGACTGAAATGGTGCTATTCAGCCTTGTGCTATTTGCCACCATATTCATACAGCTTTAATTCTCAGTATTTATGGCCTGTAGAAATAATAGAAGGTTTATTACTATCACCAGTTATTGAGGTCTCTCCTTTAAGTATAATTTTAGAGCTACCAGATTTACAGTTCAAATTATGGCAAGGTTATTTTCTCATACAGGGCTCAACTTTCATCCCCTCACATCAGTGGGATTAAGATTAAGACTAAGGGGCTCGATCCTTGGGTGCAGTTACATGTTATATTTAGTCCATTCTAATTGTACTTAAAATGTAAGGGTGTCTTTACACATGTTCCAGATGTGGGGCACTTTTATCTGAACAGCTCTGAGAGCACATTCTGGCTTTAACACCATTTAACATTCCATAGATTTAGTATAGCCTAGATATAATGTGTAACTTCGTTCCTAAAGGGTGAACCAACATAGCACTGTCAGATTCTAAGATTTAAAACTCTTAAAACTAAGCCTGAGCAGGCTGTTTACTAGATCAGCAGTATGTTGTTGAAGACTTTGCAGGTTCAAGGTTATTTGGAATAAATGTTTGTTCCAATGAGGAAGTTGAAAATAAATAAATAAATGTGGTGTAAACATATTAATTGCATCCTACAGGACCATCAGTATGTAGCTAACATTCGCTAAACTGTTGCTTGATTATATGCTGTTCTTTTTAGACACTAGTTTTAGTCTGCAGCTTCTGTTTTAAGGCAGTTGAAACAGAGGGCGCAGAGTCTGATCAATAGTTTATTGAATTCAGTGGAAAAATACCAATTGATTTCAGGAGACTTTAATGCCACAATAATCATTAACTCTTTTTGGGTAAGGGAAGTAGGTTTAGAAATAACATATGAATTATTTTTTCCAATATTTATTTCTTCTGTGTATTGAAAGTTATTCCCAGGGCTGTAAAGATAATTATTCCTGGACAATTTCCATAGCAGCTCAATCTGTTCCTGTCTGCTAAAGGATCTAATCCTTCCAATTTTGTTTCAAGTATTAACTAACAAAAACATTCAAGTCTGAAAATGAGTGGAGGACCATCCCCAATTTAGATCTATCAACTGATCTAAGGATAATATACATCACTTTCTATAAAACAGTCAGTTACCATAATTTAACCAATCAGCCACTTCCACAGCACATGATGTTCAGTACTGGAAACCTGTACAAATTTATGTTTGCTTCCCAGCCAAGGACACTTCCACCTGCTTTCCAGCTATTCAAGGAAAACAGCTTCTTTTTTTCTTTTTCTTTTTTTTTGGGTCAATTTCACTGTCAACATTATCTAAGAAACCAGGAAATCAATGTCACTGAACAGATTCAAGACCCAGGAAACTTCCAGTTTTCTGAAAAAATTGAAAAAAAAAAATCCTATGAATCTATTGCCTTTTTTGTCCAGCTATAGCTGCATACCCTCAACTCTTTCAACCCAGTAGGAACACAGACACAGCACTTCACTGGATTGGATCCATTATGAACCAAAAAGTTTAGAGGACAAATATGTATAGTCTTTCATTTATTCATTATGAGAGATGACTGAATTCCACAGCTTCAGTGAGAAGTTAGGATACTATGCAACAGCTAGAACAATTTAACTGGTGTCCTTTTATCTCTTCCTATATTCTAATTTACATTAATCAAAATGCATGCGATGATGCTTGTCATGAAAACAAGTCAAATTAACTCTTCAAAACTGGGTTTCTTCAGTACTCCTCTGAAAAGAAAACGAGAACTATTTCTTTTTTAAGAATGTTATATTTCATATACATCTCTTTTGGGTTTGAGTACTTATGATATTGCTACCTAAAAAATAGCTGAGGGTCAACTCCTTCAGGAATTCTATAGCAACAGCTGCAGAAAAAATTCAATTGCTTAGTGCTCAAAGGGACAATACCCAATATGAAACGTGTAACTCTATAGAGATCCCTGTGGTATTAAGAAGCATCATTTTAAGTGGCTTTGTTTTGGAGACAGAAAGTTTGGAAAGTGGAAACAGAAACACATGTTCTATTATACAGAGGTAGTTGAGGCTAGTGACTAATCAATGAGTACTTATTTTAAGCACCTTTGGCCCAGAATATCATATGGTAACAAGAATACACAGAAATTAAAGATGTTAAGAAAAATAACCCGAGTTGAAAAATGTAGCACTAAAAGTTCAACCAGACAGAGCTGAAGCTCTTTGTATATATGAAGATAGTGCTTAAGTGCACAACTGAGAGCAATGGATGTCAATAAAAAGACAGAAGATAGGCTTTTTCCAATAACAGGAAGCTCTGATGCATTTGATATGTTTAACAGTTTGTAGTTAACTGAGAGAAAATAGGCTTACTATGAAAAAGTATTACAGAACTTTGAGTATCACTGAAGGATGAGAACCCAAAGTACCATAAGAAAAGAGACGGAGTGTAGATGAACATATGGAGCTCAAAGTTAGAGTCAAGTAAGAACACCACAGGAAGTTGAACACACTGTGACAATCAGTGCTAAAACAATCTTCAGCATATGGAAAAAGATACAAGAAATGCATTAGTATACAAGAGTGGAAGCATAACCAGAGTGCGAACAGTATAGTCAAGGAGGTCAATTAGTTCTAATGAAACTTCCATAGAAAACATTTCAGCAACACATGATGAGTACAAGCCTCAAAGCAAAATAGATTTTATGTTGGACTAAGGTGAATTGGCCAATGTGCTTTCAGAAGAAATGTAATTAAGACAGAAGAAAAATCACAGGAAATGGAAAATAAAGAGATAATTTTGCATTAACAACCTAGAAAAGAGCAACTGTTACTAGTTGAGTCCCTAGTATGTTTATCCCTTGGATTCATCCATAAGATGCACCCATTGGAGGGGCAGGGAACAACAAAAAAGGAAGATTTTGAGGACTTTTCATAGTGGCAGGGAATTTGTCTGAGTACAGAAAAGAGATGAAAAGTCCAAGAACCGAATATATATATATATTATCTGAAAAGCTTGTTTTGTTCTAAGGCGAGGGTAAATTAATCGGTTCAGAATCACAGAGTTTAGAAGAGCTAACTGTGTGGGCACAGACTGAAACTTTGGCATGTCTGCAAAAACAAAAGAAAAGGCAACTATTCCAATATTGAACAATAGGAAAAAACAAAGATGCCAAAAAATTTCCTACACTCAAAGGATCAGTAGAAGGAAAAAATGTGCTTAACATCATAAAATATGTTTGTCATCATTCCATACTGCCTTCCTCAGATGACGATTTGTGTTGAGTTCAGCACCCAGGGGCTTTTACCAGAAAATATAACAAGGTATTGACAAGTAGAGGATAATTAGATCTACACTGATGAAGTTTAGATCTGGAGAAAATGGTAGAATATCATTCTAGAGACTTTGGGCAGTCTGGAAAGAGCAAATATTGCTGGGCTGCAACTAAACAACAATGTTCATACAGTAGGAATACCTCTCCATGGATTGCCACCTTGATGGGGTGGAGAGGCTTGTGTGATGACCCTAAGAACAACACCATCAGTAGTCTTATATTCCTGGTAGGTTGCACATATTGATAAGCTCAAAAGTGAGGTATCAGATGAAGAGCAGTCCAACATAACATAAATAACCTCAATTGTGGAACAGGCAGATGAAGATGGCATACTTCTCAATGGCTGCAAAGGCAGATAAAGCCTGCAGTGAAAGAATAACTCCAGTTTTCTTGGATCTCCTTGCCACTGGGTACAGGTTTCTCCTCTGCCAAGATCCATGAGATTGCCAATGTGCAATGACCTCCTCATGTAAACCAAGGCATGCACAGGCTTCCCACTGGACCCATTTTGCATACCTCAGCAGCCATCTCTCAAAGACAAGAAGATCCAGTGTAGGACCCAATGTGCCAGCTCTGTCGTCAGAAGACTAAACTATCTTCAGGACAAACAAAGTTCCTACTATATAAAGCTGTGGTAACCCCAACTCTTCTCTATGGCTGTGAAGCATGAGTGACCTCTAGGAA